ATTTAGCGCGTCTTGTATTTATAATGTTGCATTATTATTAATTTTATATCTGTATTAACAATCTGAATTAACAGAATTGTCTCAAGAAATCTAATGCGCGTTTTTACAAGAGTTTTTACATAAGATAGTATGATGTGATTAAAGATATTTGTAAATAACATTAATGAACGCGACGAAAAATTCCGTAAATCAAAAACATCGTAATCAGCTCGTAATTGTACAATTTTATAAATTATAAGTTATCCATTATTTTCGATATACACTGCATACTGAAGTCGAATAAATAAATTGTCACCTCGTTTCCAAAATCGTTACCGTTATTATCAGTTCTCATTTTACTTGTGCAAAAAGGTATCGTCTCGTTTCTTATCTCAGCAAAGGTAGATATATTCCACACTGAAATAAGCGAGTCGCAATTTGTAACATTGTTTCCTTAACATTTTACATAGTAATAAATGGAATCGAACAACAGAATTAAGGATACCATATCAAAAGATATCTAACATTTCTCAGGGGGAGATAATGCTCTTCCTAAACATTATTCTTTCTCTCGACACGTAAAACCTTTCAACATTCTGCGATTATGGAAGTGTCAACTGTTTAGTTTGACTGTATCAACTTCAATATCAATATCCCTTTTTATCACAGGGAGATTTCTTACCTGCGTGAGATCTAAGTCCGGACATTTGGAAGCGCATTCCTCCTGAAGGCTGATCGGAACGTGATCGGCGCGATCCTCCAGCAGATCCTCTGGCAGGAGCGCAATGACCGTTCCTGCCAGCACCAGCACCTTCAGCAGAAAACATCCCGTTGCTAACATAATAACCCCCTCCCCCCCTTAGATCCTTGCACACGATCAGCTTCCGCGCGAATTTCTATCAGCGGTTCAGCTGCCGATAATCATCGCTCCTCTTAATTTTCTCGATGACTCTTGAATGCGTTAATCGAAACGATGTCTCCGCATGGTTTCCTCGATGGATCACTCGAGACACGTCGCGATGCCTGTCGTCGTTACGTCACGTGCCGTGGAGATCACGTGTTGAGCGATCGCATCAGCAAGTGCGTCGGAGTTGCGATCAGATTGGCCACTTCCGCTAAATATCCGGAGAAAAATGGCGGGGCGACGCCAGGCGTCCCGGGGAGCGCACGTTGTGGGACACAGTTATCGCGAGGACGCAACTCGACGTTGCTTATGGATTATTTGAATGACAATAGAATTCGTTTATTTGGTGAATACACAGACGTCACCACACTGAGAAAATTGTTCTGGTTGTATCAACAAGAAGTACAAAACAAATTCCGATGAAGCAATCTTCTGGTTCTGTAATTGAATTTCGGATTATCTTGGACAGATTTAATTATCAATGTTCGATTTGTACCTTTTTAGTTGAATTACCAGAATTCCAATTAATGCAACGAGATTTTCTTTCCAGTGTATTAATTCTTTTCGCGGAAAGAAAAAGGTGTTTCTTTATCGCGTTTTTCCACGCACCTGTTTCATGAGGCGCGAATATTTATCTTTGAATGTTATTTTCTTAGGTTTTTCCTTGCGATACTTCTCACGATCAAATTACGGAATTGCTGATAGGCAAATAATCGCAGTGTTTTTCTCTTTCGACGGGAGCCGATGACGCGGGGCGACGTGTGTGTATCCGGTTGCACAAGACGGTAATACACGCTAATATGATCAGTCCTCTTCCGCAGTTTCTTTCAACGTTTGACCGGCGAAGCGATAAGAGACGGGCAACGAACGTTGCTCGAGTAAATTGTGTCGATCGAAGAGTTGCGTCTTCGTGACACCAGGCACAAAGTCCACTTTGATCGATTTTAGCACTGCGAAACGTTCTCTGTAATCAAAATCCCAAAATCAAACCTTGCATTCTCCGCGATTCTCCGCAGAACTCTTAGGATCCTCCGTCACTCTCTTTGCATTTCGAGGGCAACTTTTACTATCAACTTCGCGCAGATTTTCGTCAAATGTCTCGTTTTGCAAAATCCTGTGATTTTATCACAGTCGTTCTTTATTGCACGTTTCGGAATCCGCTGTTCGTTCTTGGATACGGTCTATGACGTTCGCGTCACGCGGTTTGAACCGAGCGGCGCGCAACGCGATCACGTTGGTTGGCGAGCATAAGAGCAACTGACTCCGAATGGCCACTCCAGAGTCAACTATCCCCCACCACGTTGTGAGCACCCTTATCTGCCGTGCACTCCGATTGCGGCTAATTCTTCTTGGTGAAGGTATACTCCGCGCTCAAAACGCGCGTCTCTGTGTGGATGCCAGCAGCTCAAGGGAGGAACGATTCGAAGAGATCTGTCTATTCGCGGGTACCGACTACTGACTGGCTGGTCAATTGACAGATTGACCTGTTCTTACTATCCTCGTAAACTTTCATTCATCCATTCGCACGTGCCGCTAGCTAACCGCCGATAGTTATCTTCGAGGATTTCGAGATGCTTAATCTCTAAATCTTTTGGAGTGAAATCTTATTCCAAAAGACTGAAAATTGAAGCCAATCTTGAAAAAATATTTTCACTCTTGAAGAGTGACAGATTTTCACTCTTTAGGAGTGAAATTTTAGAGTAAGATTTTATTCTTTTAGAGTGAAAGTGTTATATTTTCAATTTTCAAAACAAAATTGGACAATGAGAATATTTTTAATTAAGTCGGAGTATAAATCTAATTACGTATTCCTATTTTCCTATGTACTCCGATTAAAGCAGATGCTTTTAAACAGGTGCCTAAATATTTCAGTGTAAATTTATATACATATTCAATTCAGCAAATATCCAATTTGCACGCCGAAATTTTCATCAATCTTGGATTGCAATCATAAACAGAATTATGAGTAGTAATATCATATTAAATTGACAAACAATTTAATAATATTGATGTTAACAGACATCACATAAAAATATTAATAATGTAATGTTAATGTAAGAATATAAAAACTGTAAATAATTTATTGCGCAAAATATTATCTCAATTGTTGAATTTAAACCTGGATCTCCTATAACATTTTCATACTTTCATGAAAAGATTTTAAATCAGCTTTAAAGAGATCGCCAAGCACAGAAAATTAAATCTTAAAAATTAAATCTTAAATCTCAAAAATTAAATCTTAAAATGCATATTTTATTTATTTTTCTGTTATTTCGTATATTTCAGCAAAGCCTTAAATATATGAATATGAATTAAATGAATATGAATGATTAATCCAATAATAGAAATAACTTTTAAAAAATATTAAGAATTATTTCTTTTTTCGATTTGAGATAAATAAATATGTTTCTTTTATATCTAGATGAATATAATGCAAAGTACATTTTTCTCTAAAAGAGCTTTTCAAATATTCAGTTGCAAAACTGCAGAGTAATATTTTAAAATAACATTTAACGCTATGTATATTCCCATTAAGTATTCGATGAAAACTTAAGCAACTTTGGTTCTTTAGTTAGTTCTAGTTTAGTTTAGTTAATTCTCACATCGATATAAAGTAAATATGAACATGAAGATCAAACGAAATTTTTTCGTGTAGACCCTTCGAAGAAGAGCGCATCGCTCCAAATTTGTGTACCTTTGCCGCCTAGAACTTGTTAATGATATCCCTTCAGCTCTGAAAGAAATTTAAAGTTAAAACAAAGCCGTCCTCTTCGAAAAGAAATAATCGTTAAAGTTTGCGGTTCTCGTACAGCACAGTCCCAAGAAATATTTTTAAAAAATTCTAAATATAATAAGAATTTATATTTTTATAATAACAAAATAATATTTTATTCTTATTCATCGTTTTTAACATAAGGTTTATCTTATGAAAAGAACGATCAAATTACGTAGAAATCTCAAACATGAGCAATGTTGAAAAAAGTGATATTTTAACAAGTTTGAGCGTTTCTACATAATTATTTTGATGGTCCAACGAATCATTTTCAGATTTGTAGTTAACTAAATATTTAAATTCTCTAGTAAAATCGACCTTTCTGTGCAGAAAGGTCTTTTTTTTTTACTAAATCCGCGCGGGACCAGATTTTAGATATCTTTTTTTAAAATAAAATCCTTAAACTTAATACTTAAAACTAATATTATATTTATATACAATATTATTTCAATCTCTGTAAATAAACCAAAATTCAATATTCAAAATGTTTTTAATATTTGTCATTCTTTAAATTATTATTAATAGCACGTAAAAATTCCTGGGACTATCTCCGGAAAATGGGGAACATTTGTTAATCTTATTTAAAAGTGTCTAAGAGAAAAAAATTAATCGGTAATTGCCGATAAATTTAGGTTCAGTCTTGTGCTTCTGCGAACCCTTTAGCTCTTTATATATGTTATTCTTTGTGAACATGTTTGTTAGCCGTGAGCTCATCAAAATGGTGATTCATTTTGACAGATTAAATCTGCAGCGAACAACGAGAGCCAGTCACAGCGTTTGTAATGCCATTGTTAGCTGTGCGACGCTTCTTTCTTCACGATGACCCGGAGGAGGTTGCGATCAGATCGATTCAATTCTTAACTCGTATTCGTTCAAAGACTTTTCTGCATGAATTTGACACACATAAAAGCAGAAGAAACAGAAAATAAAAGATCTGTTTAGAAAGTTTCTGAATTATAATTTTGTTTATCAATTCTTTTTATAACTTTATTTACCCTTATATCACTTGAAATATTCTCTTTTTCAGTTAATACGCCTCTGCTAACGCCATTTCTATTTTTAGAAACAATTCTAGTGGACATTTTTCGAGAACGTAAGTTCCAAACATTGAATGATATATTTTCTAAATCGATGATTTTCATCACCATATTTTCAGTAATACCGAATCCTAGATGTAATGAACGAAACGGAACATACAGAGACGCAGAGGTAAGATAATAATTACAATTTTCATATGTACAGATTGCGACTCATAAGGAAAACTGTGCAGTATGAATGCAAGACGGTCATGAAAAACTCCAGCTTAGATATGTTTTAATGTGTTAATGTCTCGGCCGTTGCTTGACTTCGCCACAGACGGAACATGTGCGAATTCTTGGTCTAGGTACGTCATATATCTACCGCGTACAGAAATATGTATTATTAGTCTACACTACGATGCTAACAGAACTAAAAGATCTCTCTCAGTAATCTGAGTAATCTCAGAAAATCTCTCACGTTAGGAAAGTTCTATGATAAATTAATTTATTTTCATAGAGTAGATTTAGAATGCGACATGTATATGAATTATCTATATTGAATGTAGTCCAATATTTAGCGAATGTGTGCAAAGTTGGCGTATATTCCTGGTAGCAAGCTACATCATTTTGTCGTCATTTTAACGTCAACTTGCTACCAGGGTTATTGGCCATATCGTCTGGAGGCGCTTTTAACGAGATTTTTTTATCAAAGAAGGTTCTGTTGAGAAACATCAAATAAATGATTATTTGAATTATCAAATTTCGTCGCTCATATGTCAAATATATACATTGGAAGATTCTCTCTCTTATAACTGAATGAAAGCAGGAAAGTTTTCTCAATGAAAAACAACGGAGAACTCTCCAAGATAACGATGTTTAACTAGCTTTTGCTTTCAGCACGCGCGGTAGGATCGAGCCAACTAGAACGGATTAAGGATACAGCGTTTGTTGTAGACGCATAGATCACGATGATGAGCCGTAACAAGTGCGTGTTGAGCGAGAGGTAGGGCGATCGTATACACGAGCATGGGGTACAAACTACAACCCGTACAACCGCGCGTTTCGAGTGAGTTCGCGCTCGCGCGATCGGCCGAGCGAGTTGGAGGTCGGAGGTGTATATTGGCCATTTCCGCAGGAAGCCCTAGGTAACCTGTAACCGCCATTGAGTTTCCAACTGAACGTGCCACGGATCTGTGCTATCGTCTCATAAAGCGATGCATGCCTGCGCTCTGGATCTGCTCGCGCGTCGCGCCCCCAAAACGATAATTCTTGCAGATTCTCCGCTCCCAATCTCGCGCCCGATTCTCGCGACCTTTTCAGTCTTTCCACAGTTCGCACTGAAGAACGAACAATGTTAATTTCTTCCAGTAGACGTGATAGAAAGTTCTCTCTATTTTCGTTAATGGCGTTCTTCTCATGAATATGTTTTCCATTAAAAAAAGATAAAATTACGGGGAATATATACAATTTTACGAAGTATTTAAAAATTTAGCTAGCTACAGATATAAAGATAATTTTGTCGGACTATTAAAATAATTAAATAATTATGAAGGATACTCGAATTCGTTATTAAATGTCAAATTTTTCAAATTCTTTGGAATGAAATCTCAGTCTTTTAGAATGAGATCCACTATAAAGAATTTATAAAGATGCTTTTTGCAGCATTGCTCATTATGTTTGAGTTTTTTACATAATTTTTGAATGGTTCCATAAAATTATTTTCATATCTGTAGCTATCTAAATTTTTAGATACTTTAGCACAGAATTGTTCTTTTAATGTAGAAATTCACTTGTTATATTTGTATTATAATAATAATATATTATTTATATTATATATTATATTGTATATATTTATATTATATTGTATATCCATGTAATATAAATGAAAAAAACAAGAAAATTCTTTAAAAAGATTAATGTAATAAAATAAAATATTATTATCTACTCAAGATACATATAATCGCTTGATAAATTATATATTACACATATTATATGCGGTACACATATTATGATTTATATGATAAAATCAGAGCAATTTCGCTTGAAATAAGATTAATTTATTTTCAATTCAGTTTGATACAAAGTATGATAAAATTACTAGTATACTAACTTTATGAACGGAAAGGGAGAGGAGAGGAATTGACTATACAATTGGCGGATTAATTCGCGGTGACTGTTTTGTTTTGCATGCAAAGCAATTGTTGAATGAAAAGAACGGCTTTTAAGCACAAGTCGTCTAGACAACGCTAGTCCAGATCAACCCCGCTTTTACTCGATACACCATAATTCGGCTCTATTAGACCCAATAAAGTGTATCAGAGAGGAGGAATCCGCCCCGAGCTAATGATAAATGCGATGTCCGTTGGACCGTTCGTACGCCAGAGCACACGATGTATGTCGGGTTGCGGGTGGACACCTTAATTTAGATTGAACGTAGTTATCAGGACTATCATCACTATCACACGTTTGCACTGGAGGAGAGGTCCTTGAAAAAAAATAACAACTCAGCTTTAATTAAAACCTATGAAAAATTGTTCTGCCTGCTTTAAATATACGCTATTTCTACAAATAAATTTATTTAATAAAGATTCTTTAATTTTCAAAAAGGACCTAATTATGAAATTTTTTTTAAAAACTTTTTAGTACTTGTTATGTTAGTATGTTGTTATGTTAGTTCTTATTTTAAAGAGAACACACGAATTTTTAAAACTGTCTTAAAATTTATATAATTTCAATTATATTACGTGTCTTTGTATTAATTTTAATGTTTTGTCGCAATTAAAAATTTTAGACATTTAAAAAAATTATTCTAAAATTTTTATATAAATTTCAGAATTTTTGAGAATTTTATATAACTTTAATTTTTCAGATTTTTTATACTGGAATGGAATTCTTTTAAAAATAGTTAAGAAAGTCTATATTTTTCCAAAGAATTAATTTTTCTAGATTTATATATGTAAATTGTAAAATATTCTAATAATAATAAGATTCTAATAATAAGATTTCTCATTCTATAATTTTTATAAGAAAATTTATAAAATTTAAAGATATTTAAGATATTTTTTAGAAATTTAAGATATGAAAAATTCTTAAATTATGAGATATAAGAATTATTTTTTTCGTCAGTGTCGTAATTTTTTCAGTTCATCTAATTATCATAAACAGTGTGATAAATGTTTGCATAAATTATCAACAGAGTCCGCCACAAATCGGACAGCTAAAGTCTGTGGTACATGAGGTGTTTTTCTTGTGCTTGATTAAGAAAATGCATACTTTTAAATAGTTAATAAATGCATACTTTTTAACAATCCCTGGCGTTGTATTCTTGAAAAATATCGCATGCAAAGTATATGTATTACATCTTCTCTCTGGTTATATATACTATAGATTTTCCTAGTTTTTTCGTATGCAATATTTTTTAAGGCTTCTGTGATCTGTTACTTTGCAGAATTTTTATCATTCTTATCAATTTAACAATACTAAAATTACTTATAGATCAAACATAATATATTTCATAATTATTATATCACAAAAAAAAATGAGATTCCTTATATTTCATAATTATATATTCATTGCATAAGAAAGTGCGCAGATTGGAAATTAACACTATGTTTTCAAAGGAGTTTCATGAGAACCGTTTCGAAAGCAAGTGGGATTGGAGAGCAAGAGCATTTGTGAATCGTGAATCACATTAGTGTGCGAGATAAATCGTAGAGGAGTGCACTTCGGAGGTATACAGGAGATTCAAGATGGAAGACGGTGACAATAAAGTGGAAATTGAATTAGGTAAAGATAGGAAGTCATATGCCGGTATACCGGAGGCTGATTTTGTGGTAAGTGCGATTTTATTAATATTCATTTTACGCATGTGCTCGTGTCATACACATTTACAAAATCTGTATTATTATTTCCGTAATTCTCTTGATTTGTTGGAATCGTTCTACAATAAATTTTTGTTAATCATTCTCTCCGCGTGAAAAGAATATATATTTCATTACTATCTAAGGACATTGAGAAGCAACTCTTATTATTTCTATTGACAATAAAAATTCCATATATATGTATTTGATCAAAATGTCAATCGATTAATCGAACCTTATATGGTAACCAAAAAAATCATACCGTTTTCATGTTTTAATCTTGTGAATTTTTTATTCTATTTTCTATTTGCTTTATTTTTTGGTTAATTCAAATTGATTTGTATGATTAAATAAATATATTCATTGTATAGAAATATTTTTATGTTTATCTTTATTAAACTACTAATAATTACAATTAATTTTTATTAAAATTTTTATTAAATATATATATTTTATAATCATAAAATTACTGAATTTAGTTTAAAGTCTTACTATAAGTCACTCACGTTGCACAATTCCAGGACGATGTCGAGGCTTTTATGGCAAAGCCAGAAAACGATTCTGTGGACAAAGTACTCAGAAAGCTGGACGAGAGCCATGGAAAATACAAGTTTATGGAGTTTAACCTAGTCAACAAACGAAGACGCTTAAAATCACAAATACCAGATCTCGAAAGATCTTTAGAGATGATCGAGAAATTGCAGATTGAGAAGAGTACCTTAGAAACGCAATTTTTATTATCAGAACAAGTTTACGCAAAAGCCATAATACCACCTACCGATAAAGTGTGTTTATGGTTAGGCGCTAATGTCATGCTAGAATATACCTTAGATGATGCCCAAGAAGTGCTGACCAAAAATATTGAGGCAGCCAAGAAGAATTTAGGATATGTAGAGCATGATCTAGATTTTGTTCGAGATCAATATACTACTGTGGAAGTAAATATGGCACGTATCTACAATTGGGAGGTGAAGCGCAGACAAGCAGCAAAACCCACATGAAATTATTAATCTTATTCGTACTCGGATCTGCCTAAAGTCAAGAGGTAATTCTCTAAGAATTAAAGAAACATTTTTTTCTACATATATATACTTAGCTCAATGAACTCATTTCTTTCGAATGTTAATATTACAATTCCTATTATTTTTTCATCGTATGTTTTGTATATTTCAGAATATCTTCTACATTAGAATAAAATTTGTCAATACACAGCACACTATTGAAATTCGTGGAAGACTTAAAAATGAATTGTAACTTCACATACTAATATTTATATACATATTAAAAATGTCTACATTTTTGTAATTGATTGTAAAAATGTTATCTTTTATCTGTTGCAAATTGATTTTATTTGCAATACATCTATATTACCCAAGTCCTAATAAAACAATTCCACTTTGATTAAAACAAAAGTATAAATGATATAAATGATAAGGCAATAAATGATATTACATTTAAGAATACATGTATTGTAATAAACGTAAAAGAAATATTTATTTGGATTCTGAGATCTATTCTGTACAAACGACGCTCCACATTAATAAGTACATATGTCAATTACTTTACATGTAATTTGTCCTTAGAAGAGAAATAATATGAAAGCTAACAGCTATATTGCGATTTTCTTAATTAAAAAACATGAATGAATATATGTGTAATGGAATGTTTACACAAGTTCAGTAATTTATCTTATATTCTAACTTTAATAAATGTCAATTTATTATTATAGTAACGTCATATTTATTATAGTAAATATAAGGCACATAGACTGACTTTAGAAAAGTCATTGTCCAAAAAAAAAGACTAGCATGAACTCTGGTCGAAGATATGTTATTCATAACGGTTACTCCTACTCGGCCTGTACTTCATCCTTTTGTTCATACTTTGCTAATTTTGATTGTAGTTCGATGATTTTAGCTTTGGCCTCCTCTAATTCTTTTTTCAAGATATCAATTTCTGAAGTACTGTCCATGATACCGCCAAGATTCTTACGTATATATCTATAATACAGATAAGGAAATAACTAACTTTTTTCATAAAGCACCACTATCAGAAAGCAAATACTTTCTCATTCAAAAAGAGAAGTATAAAAGTTACAACAAATTAATATCCATTTTTATTAATGTAGATTAATTTTAATCTCATTGAACTACTTTTATCTTTTTCTAATTCTGACGTTGATTCTACAATAAGTCGGTAATCGATAGTTCTAAGTCTTATCAGTGAAGTTGACCAATAGCCAACTTATATGACTAAGGCTGATTGGCCAACTTCATCGATTAAGACTTCCGACTACCGACTCATTGTAGAATCAATATAAGGCTGGTATTCATAGTCTTATTCTTATTCCAAGATCGTCTTAAGTAATGTCTTAAGATGCTAATGCAGACCTCAGATTGATTCGTGACATCTCAAAACAAAACTTAAGATGGTCTTAAATATAAAAACTGATGAATATTGACTGATGAATATATTGATAGAAACAGACAAAAGATTTGATTCCACCAATGCAAGATGAACTTTAATTAATTGAACTGAGATTAAAGTTAATTTTACACGTTTTTCATCATACTACTAGTGGAACCAGGTCTAAGTATATGAATAACAATTTAAATATTTTTCTCTCTTGAAGCATCTTAAATATCTTTGTTTTTAGATTGAATAATTATGTTAAACAACATTGATTCTTTGTTGAGAATAAGAAAAGGATACTCTAAGGCATCAGCTGGCTTTTCAGTCTCTTCATAGAGTGAGACAAGTATTTTTGTGAGGGCATCCATGACACCAGCTCTCTCCAGATACTTGCGAAATTCCTCTCGTTTGGCAGTGACAGACTATAAAGTAAAAAGAAATTCATTATTCCAAGAAAAAAGTGAAACATAATCAGTTGATGAATTAGATTAAACTAATATAAAACACATATTGAGCCAAGATGTTTCTTTCAGCTAAATTTCTTGTAGGTTCATCTTTCCTCTTTTTCTCTTCATGTAAAAAAAAAAGAGAAAAGATGAGTACAAGTTTATCTGAAAAAGTCTGTAAATATATTATAAGATTTACAAAAAATATTCGAATTTTATGAATAATCCATGGATAAGTAAGGTATTTTTCATTCTCATTTCTTTGAAATCTTCACAAAGATTAAACCATATAAAGGATTTTTTAAATTCATTAACTGATCAATCATATTATACACAAACGTGCTTTTTACAAACAAAATTATATCTGCGTATACAATGCAATATATCAATTGATGAAATAAAAAACTTGCCCAAACTAGCATAGAGGGCTATTGTTTGTTTGGAATAATCCATTCCATTCCATGTTTATCACCCGACGCACATTCTGTATCGAAATAATTTCTGATTCATTTCTATCATCTATAATAACCGTTGTAATATTTTCCGAAAAGAAAAAAAATATCGAATTTAATAACATTTGACAACATCAGTAACAACAAATAAATGTACGATACGAACATAGAATTATGGCCGATGTTAGGACGTTACAAAAATAAAACGGCATGTAAAATGACGCTTGCATCCGTTCAAACCCGGTACAAACACGAGGCGGGCAATCTTTTCTAAAGAGTAACAGATTAAACGACTAAAGATTAATATTAATGAGATAATTACCATTATAACGAATTTCCAAACGGCTTTCTCGCTCGAGATTCTCTTGAAAAACGCAATCCAAGAGATATAACTTACTAACAGCGAATGAAAGCTGAGATAAAACGGTCAAAGTCAAATTAGCGCCTGTCTCTTATCATGCCATAAACATAATATGGCGAAAGTCGGCTAGATGGGCTAGATTCGCTAGACAGAACATAGGATATGGAGTCACCGTCGTCACTGAAGAGTGGCGATCGTATAATTTTTCCCTAGAAAAGAAATGCGAAAATTTCATACGACTTGATTATTGAGAAGGTACTACTAGGGCAGCGTTCAAGAACTATGCCTAGATAACTCTAGGATACATTTTTGCTATAATATATGTAATGTAACCTATAGCTTAGAGTTATCTGGGCGTATTTCCTGAACGCAGGCCAGTAGAGAGAAACTAGAAACTAGTAGCAAACTTCAGATGTGTCGCCAAGCTGGAAAATTAAGGCTCGTCCCGGACAGTAATTTTCTGCGGGAATGGGGAGCTTTGACTATAGTATATGCACATTTACAGTGTGCAACAGTCAGTAAAGGTTTCTGTTTATCAAAGAGACTATTTTTAGTAGCAAACGATTTTTAGAATCCATTAATTTGCATAGTATTGTGACTTTGTACTTGAATCGGAAAACAGAAGAAGAAGAAGAAGAAGAAGAAAAAGAATGGTCAATAACGGTCAATTTTCATACTTGAACTTGTCGGTCTTTACTGTTCGAGGGGGCGGAACCTAAAGTCAGTTCTACATTAGTTGCATCGCAAGTTTGTTGCGACAGCCAATAAGCTTGCACTTTAAAATCAACGCTTCATATTGGCTGTCGCAACAAACTTGCAATTAGCTTGCAACTAATATAGAACTGGCTTAACAATCTTCAACCAACTTCAGTTCGGCGACACTCAGAAAATACATTTCCTATAGCAAATATGAGGGATTATTAGGTGTACAACTTTGCTTCCGCCGTTTTCTTATAGATGGCTTTAGCAGGAAGTGGTGGTCGAAATAAATAGATCGTCATAGACGTCATACAATAAACTTGGGCATCTGTTAACATAACCCCATAGAAACATTAGTCGATTTGTCTGCATTATAAAGTTATTCTCGATTGAAAATGTTAGTTCACGAGCCAAATTCTCGTCATTTGCGGGAGGTTTTAATTTTTTGCTTCAATATGAAGAAATCTGTGGCTGAGGCTCATCGAATGCTCTCAAATACTTATGGTGAGGCCGCTATTAGTGAAAGAACGTGTCGTGAATAGTTTCAACGCTTCAAGAACGGTGATTTTGACGTCCAAGGTCATGCTCTATATTTGGTGGGACCAGCTCGGCGTAGTGTATTATGAACTGTTAAAACCGACTGAAACAATCACAGGCGATCGGTATCGAACGCAATTGATGCGTTTGAGCCGAGCATTGAAAGACAAACGGCCGCAATACAACGAGAGACACGATAAAGTGATTTTGCAGCATGACAATGCTCGACCCCATGTTGCGAAAGTGGTCAAGACATACTTGGAAACGTTGAAATGGGAAGTCCTACCCCACCCGCCGTATTCTCCAGACGTTGCTCCCTCTGACTATCACTTGTTTCGATCAATGGCACACGGCCTGGCTGATCAGCACTTCCGGTCTTATGAAGTAAAAAATTGGATCGATTCGTGGATAGCCTCAAAAGATGACCAGTTTTTTCGACGCGGGATTTGTACGCTACCCGAAAGATGGGAGAAAGTAGTGACCAGCGATGGACAATATTTTGAATCATAAATGTATAATCAGTTTTTTACAATAAAGCCTCGAATTTTGGTAAAAAAACGGCGGAAGCAAAGTTGTACACCTAATACATTTATAAATAAATATTAAATAAATACATTTATGTCCAATTCTATCAATGTAGAATCTCGGTATAGCTTAATTTTTTTTATTTTAAAAATTAGAAATTGATAAAAAGTAATTCAAACCAAGATTAAAGTTAATGTACATTATAATTGTTCTACATGGACAATATCCTATAGAGACTTATATGGATATATATAATTAAACTAAGTTGTAGCTATAAGTATAGTTTTAACTTAAAAAAATCAGATATTTTTAAAAAAAATATTTGAAAAACAAATTTTTTTTAAGAATGAAGAAAAAATATATAGTTAACATTTATCTTCTCATCACTGTAGAGAAATTACTCAAATTCAATCGAAGTAATATAAAATTAAACACGATTACAATTTAAAGAAACTAAACGTTCATGATTTCGCGCGCCTCAGATAAACTGAACGAACTGGACTTGCGCGCACCGCATGCGTAATCAAGATGGCGGACCATCAGCAGCAAGTGTCTAGTTTATCATTATCGTCCTTCGAAATTAATCACGAAATACGATGTTAAGTTGCGATTTAACTTACATTCACGACAACTTTATTGTTTTTTCAAAGGAAAAAAAAAGTCATACTTGATGTGGCGCGAATTTTGGTCGCGTGCGCTTCTGACGTGCGCGATCGGTGCTTGTTCAATTATCGGCGACTTTGGGCTGAAGTGCTTAAAGTACGACAAGAATGAGTCGGTGCGCGCAGCGCTTGACAATGCGACGCACGCGACAGTGGGCGGCCTCACGTGGATGTTAATTATCGTCCTTTCGCGGAAGTCGATTGTGCGCAATTTAAATAGTATACTTTCCTGCTTCTTGTTGGCGTCTTTCGTTGATCTGGATCACTTTATCGCGGCGCGCAGTTGGCATATCCATGTGAGTATCACAAGCAAAGCATACGAAAATTAATTTCAAAATTTGGATGAGCGATAAGCGGAGCATATATTTTAACGATGTAATTAGTTTTTATATATACTTTCTAGTAAAATATAGGAATTAATTATATTTAAATAAATTTATTATTACGATGTTTAAAATTTTCTTTTATTAAATTAAACTCGTATGACGTTTGCTTTAATTTCAATTTTTTCAATTACATTCTAATTTTAATTTTTAATTTAGAATTTTTATTTTAAATTTAATTATAGAAACAAAAAATATACATTGAAAGTTACAAAAAAATTTGGAAATTATTTTTTAATGTAATAAAATTATTAAAGTGTTATCAAATATCAAATTATTGAAAAAATGATATATATAATAACTGTAAATAATTAATAGTATAATAAAAGAAAGAAATTTATAACTTTTAATTTACAATTTATACTAACTTTTATCTCAACAAAAGTTATCACTGTAACTAGAAAAAATCGCAGAAATTTATGGAAATGTCTAAAAATATTATTTGATTTCATTATATTTCTGATTCTTGTTGTTTTTCTTCTTTTTATACATGTGTGTGCATGCGTGCGTACGTGCGTGCGTACATGCGTGCGTGCGTGCGTATGCGTGTGTGTGTGTGTGTATTTACATAACTGCGCATATAAATTTTTATTTTTTTCTAATTTTAGCTTTCATTATTTTTTCAGGATGCCACGCATTTACAAAAACGACCTTTCTTACATTGCACTACTATTCCTATTTTATTATGGACATTTTTTATCTTACTCTCCAATACCTTCCATTCTCCTCTAATGGAACATATTTCCTGGGTGATGTTGGCTGCCTTCCTGAGTCACCACATACGAGATGGTACCAGAAGAGGTTTGTGGTTTTGTCCCTTCGGATCTACCCGTCCTATTCCCTACTATTTATACGTAAGTCTTTGTATGTCCCTTCCTTACATACTACATTGGCTTATGAGCCTGCACACATTTACGCCGAAGAATAACAACAATATTATACTCGATGTATGAAACATATTTTAAAACACGCATATTGCATACCGAGTGTACAAACAATCGGATACCTTTTTAAAGGTGTATGTACGAGAGCTATTATGGGTGCTTTCCAGCAAGAGACACAGATGATACAGTATAATACAATGAATCATTATATCTTTGTTGTTTGTTGATGTTAAACAAAAATGACATGATTACTATATCGCTTGTTGGAAAACACATTAATATCTTGTATAGTTCAATATTGATATTCCTAGTTTATAAAATCGAAGAGAGAAGAAAAAGAAATTAAACATAATTAAACATTATTAATTATAATGTTTGCTCTAATAAAATTTTAATTTTAATTATTTAAAAAGACATTTTTAATATTACGGGTTAGATATGTCTTCCAATTAAATTTCATAGTCATACTAGTGATCAATGTGATTATAACGTATCTTATTTGTTTTATTCGAAAATAATATTTCTAACAATAAGCATATTTCAGTTTATTAAGAAAAGAAAAATATGAACTAAATTAAAAAAAAAATTTTAATTTTTCATATTTTTTGTTTCATATTTTTCTTTTCTTAATAAAATCTGAAATATACTTATTATTAAAAATATCTTATTCGAAAGAATATAAAAGATAATAGATATTATTATTTTAATATATATATA